CACGTGCTCTCTCATGCAAATCGCTGCGCCCTTGCCAGGCAGGAGCTGAGGGTTTGCTGGCACGAAGGAGGAAGCAAAAGGACCTGGAGGAGTTTTGTAACTGAGCAATCTTTTTGCAGGGATATATTTTACCTCAGCTTGTCCCAGTGAAAGGTTTGGCTCGGGCTTGAAAAAACACATGCGGGAGGGTTCCCCTGTTCCAGCCAGTGCCACCAGGAAAGACCCGCCTGGGACTATCCAAAAGTTTTAGATTTTTGTTACACCAATGGCAGCGGAACCTGCGCCTCCCCGGCACACCCTGGCTTTGGAGCAGCTCCCTGGGGCGGGACCCAGGCGCAGAGGATGCTTCTCGGCCGCGTGGCACCAAAAGCGTTTTGCCCTCAATAAATCTGGGCCAAGTATCTAGAGTAGTACTTTGGGGCCCTTCACAAATCCTTTCTTAGCTCTGCCCTTCAGGTCCAACCTCTCGTGGTTTCTAAGCTCCCCTCTATTTCACTCCCCGTCCAAGCTGACACGGGCTCGTGGGGCCGTGACACACCACCAGGCCACGTGGTGGGAGGGGATCTCTTCCTACACCCGGCATCTCCCGCGTCCTAAATCCACCTCCCCAGCCCAACACACCCCGGCACAGCACGGGGTGCCCTGACGAAGGGCCAAATTACCGACCATGGCTGGTGGAGACTTGGTTTTCATCCAGAACGGGCACGTTCCTCACCAAGGCAGCGCAGCAGCCTCGTGTTCTCCCTCCGCGGAGTTCCCTGGCAGATCCCTCTTCACCTCTTTCGGGAGAGAGGTAACAGCAGCCTCTGAGCAGCACCCAGAAAGTCCTCCCTCCCCGTCACCCCTTTCCTTTTGGGGGCCACAGCAGGGAACGGGGCGGTCATCCCTCACCTCCTCACACCCCACGTTCCACCGCTCCAGCCCCAGCTGATCTCATCAGACTCTTTTCAAGAACAAGCTCTGCAGGAGGCAACCAATCCTCCAACAAGGTCCTCAAGTCAGAGTTTCATAATTTTATGCAGCTTTTAGTAGTTTCTGGACAGCGATCCGCACGATTGTACTGTTTCTGATACAGAAACAACACAAAAGGAGCTTCCCAGCGGCGACGGAGCCAAGCATCCCCCCCGAACACCTGCTGACATGAACGGCCAGATGGGAGAAAGGATCGAACCGTTTTCCTTCGCAAGGCACTACCTTCAGAAAAAAACCCAAAACACAAAAGAACAAGACGACCCTCATGCTATCCCGCCAACAACACTTCGTTTTTTAACCTTACGTGCCCTGAACTATCGCGTACGGACACCTGATCCCCTTCCCTTCAGCAAGCAAAGCTGGCAGAGCCGGCTGGGGAGGGGGAAATGTATCCCGCGGACAGGCCTGATTTTGCAGGAGCGGGAGGGAAACGCCCAAAATTAGCCCGCAGGTTAATTAGCGCAACAGCAGCAACCGCTAGCAGGACTTCACGTGTCGAGAATTAATTATATTTCAGGGGACTGTTTCCTTTTGACGAACGCCGAGGACTACAATGGGAAGGTCTGACTTGTCTCAGGGGCCTTTGTTAGTCTATTTTCTTTCTCGCACCAATCAAACGTGATTTGTTTTAAACATACGCTAAACCGAGCTGGCACGGTGACTTTAAAAGCTCCTGCTGGTAACCAGAACATGCCAAGCACAAACACCAGCTCGTAAACAACCTCTGCTCCCCAAGTCTTCAGGGCAGAGCCTCTCCGCAAACGGCCGAATTAGAAGCAAAACAGCAACACGGGGCGCGTTTTGCTTCAGCTGCTGCCTGGCAGAGACGAATCACAAATCACGGGATGGTCTTCAGCGCTGGCTTTTGGAGAAGACCTGAAGCGACACGACCAGCTCGCGAATCCCAGCACCGATCCTGCCTTACCGGTAACCAAAGCTAAACCCACGTCGCTTTCAGACACGCCGATTTTGGTGGTTTGCCCTCAACAAAATTAATTCTGGGCAACTCTCTTACTAAGGTGACTGAACGTCAAACTCACATTCACCGGACCTAAGATTAGCTCCTTTTATTTACTGCTAACGTGTGACCCAGCAGGACGAGGACCAGACAGTATTTTAGATTTAAAATGGGATTTTACGGAGCAGCTGTCATTCGCTTCCATTGCGTTCTGACCTAGTCCCACGAATTCCTACTCACCGGAGCAGCTTTTGATCAATTTTTTTCCCCCGTCTAAAAGCGAACTCCACTGAAGCACACGGAAACGAAGGCCTGTCCTGCAATGAACCCGAAAAGCTCCGAGGATAACATGGTACTGTTTTTGCTTTTAAATGTCTCCGCTCCAGATCAGTCAGATAATATTTGCCACGAAGCCAGCAAGGGAGGAAAGAGGGAGAAGGAAAAAGGGAGAACACAAGGAAAGGCAACGGCAGAGCTCCAGGGAGGATGAGGAGATGAAGGAACTTCAGCAGCGGGATGTGTGGCAGGGAAAAAGCTCCGGGAAAACCCCCCTTGGTTCCCCAGCACGACAGTCATGACCTATGATGCCAAATTCTTCATTTCTCTTGGTTTAAACTGCGGGTTTAGGGGTTACACGCTGGGAAATACAGAGGGGCCAGAATCCCTCGGCCAGGGCGGAGGGAGAAGCTGAGGAGGAGCGAGAGCTTTTATTTCTGCTTCCGACTGAAATTCAAGGAAAAGCGTTTGGGCCACGGGCGTTTGATCATACATGACCTTTATTGGAGACAGCTGGAGTCATTTATTACACAGAAGTAACATCACACCATTCTCTTCCAATTTAATTCCTTTTAGTCTCCTTATAAATCTGTAGCAAAAGTGCACTTTTAACAGTTTTTAATCTATAGTATATATCTTTCAATATTATCTCTCAGTCAGGTATTTTATTTGTAAAAATGTATCACCAGATATACAAAATACATGTCTAGTGTACTACATTAATTTCTGTATTTACTGTTTAGATTATTTTTAACTCAGTGCTCTCTTTTTTTCTTCTCCTTTTTTTTTTTTCTTTTTACTTTTTTGCAAGACTTAGTGATGACAGTCTTCTGGTAGTGCCACCAGGAGAGGACTCACAGCTTGTGCGTGAACAAGGGGAGAAGACTCTTAGCCAGGAACAAATTTCACACAATAGGAACAAGATGACAAGAACATTTGCTGTTATTGAATATGTTTCTTCAACTGACAGCGCTCTGTATAATAAAAAATAATTAAAAATAAAAACCCAATGTCCGTATTTTATCTTCTGGAAGAGATGTGCCAGCAGAATGGAACCTATACTCAGTCGGAATACGACGGTAATGATTAATTTGCATTTTGAAGACAGGAGTGAATTGCTAACATTGCGTTTCTGGCCAGGATAAGAAGACACAGATACATACAGCCACCACAAGAAACTGGTTGTGAAATGTTGTTTTCCTGAGGACAATATTTTGGTAAAATACTTTATAACCTGTACAAGCCATGGAATTGCATAAGTTAAACGTCCTCAAGAACAACGATGGCCGGGACACACCGTGAGCGGCTGTGCTGGGAACAACCACAGAGAGGACAGCTCTTGGGTCACCTAATAAGATGAAGAAGGGAAAAATACTCATTTCCAGCGGTGCTTCAGAGCCAGCTGCGACAAGCTTTGGCACGGCAACAGGACTTCTCCAACAGAAAACGACAGAAGATTTTCTGAGATTTCTTACGGACTTCCTTCGTCTCTCCTTTCTAGTTATCCTTGAGATTATCATATATACACACGTAACGGATAATTACTTAATTTCAGCCTTCAAAAGACTAACGATTTCCCCTGGGAAGCAAGGCCTATAGAGGTAAGACAATCAGAAGCGTTTTTTGGGGAGTGTTACGATTCCCAGCGCGATACGAACGTTACCAACGGATGAGGAGGAACACTCACAGCAAGGCAACGTCTGGGCTGGTTGGTTGGTTGGTTTTCCTTCTGACACACGTTCGTTATCCCGAAGACTAAGACCAACTGGATGAGTGACGGAAAATAACGCTTCCCTTGGTTAACCCTTCGCGACTAGCGCTGTTCTTGGGTGTTAGCAGAGATTCAAAACGCTAGTGAGGTCAGTTTATAACACGCCGAACCCAACGTTTGACAGATCCCGTTTGAGAACGAGGGCACTTTTGGTTTACACGCCAGCTCCGAGAAACACCGCAACTTCACTTCACGCAGCGACTGGTTGCCAGACATATTCTTCAAAAGGGAACTGCTTTTCCGCTCCCCTTAAATTTGACGTGACTCCGAGTTCGAAACTTCAGCTTCCAAAGAAAGAAAAATGCACAACAGACCGAGCTGAATACGGATCGAGTTCTGTGCCTTCTGAAGAAGAAACAGAACAGCAAAAATACGAATAGAAAAAGAAGCAGCGCTGTTAGTGTTATCAAAACCAAGCTAATGCATAACGGGGCAATTTACAATGCTGCAGAGAGAGTTTTTTGTCTGCTTTTTTATAAAAAGTACAGACTTGACATTTCCAATATGTCTTAGCTTTGTACTGCTTCTCAAGTCTGAGTCACCAAAAATATCCAGCAACCAGCTGCTGTTCATATCCTAAAATATGCCTTCAGCTGACACTGAATATTGAAATCATTCTGCTAAAATACAGAAAAACGACGATGGTAGAAACCAAGGTATAGCCTCAGGCCAACATTAAATGGTAAAAATTCTACAACGCTACTCTTAAATCTCTTCTTCAGTTCATGAACAAATAAGCAGCCAGGTTTCAAGTAGAGGTAACACAGATTTTGGAAGATAGCACGTAAAAAAAAAGCCCAGAAAGAAAACTGGAACAAAAGCTCTTCTTGTTACGGCAGTCAGCACTAATCCCCCACGAAAGGGCAGGGAGAAGCCTTTAGTCTCCCGGCTGGAACTGTCCTGGTCCTACGGCAACAACGAGGAACTGCTTCTGCTGTCACAAATATGTTCCATTTGGACATATCTTGATCCCTTTTTTCTTTTTTCTTTTTTTTTTTTTTTTACATACATGTATCTTTAGTCTTAGTCTCTTGACTGGTAGAAGAGGATATATCCAGATTCTGAGTTTTTTGAAATGTCTGATGTTAACCCATAGAATTCTTCAATGGCCTGGGCATCAATTTTCTGAAAATTAATGAGAGTTATAATTAGCCTCAGTTAAAACACCACCCTAGGAATCCCTTTCCCAGACAAAGCATTACTGGCAGTTGTTGGAGGCGGTGCTGGAAAGCCACAGCGTTAATACAGCAACATCTCAGTATCACTGAATCCAACAACACATTTTTTCCACTTCATACCTTATCCACTCTTGGGCAGGGGGAAAAAAGGAAGTAAATCAAGATGAAATAATAATCATCCCGGAAGCGGTGCACTCCCTAAGCTGGACTATTAAAAAGAGGATCCTTGAAAATGTATCCTTAAAAGAGTACATGACTTTTGTACCTGCTTTCTCATTCAGACTGGCGTTACCTTTCCTGACTGGAGGTGTGTAACATCAACGAGGGGGGGAAAAAAAAATAAAAAGCAGTCACTGACCAGCAAAGAAGATTTTTGTACAGCTGGGAGCATGTAAGGATCATCTTGAGCAGATCTGACATCCAGCTGAAATAACTCCACATGTAGAGAAGTCCTGCAAGGGCTACTGGCACCCGCACCATGAAACGTGGGGATCTCGGCTGGCTCTGATCTGCTGCTCTGCCGAGAGCTCGCCCTGCTCTGGACTTGCTGGCACAACATCTACTGGGTTATTATCACAAGCTTTGTGTTTTAAGGGAAACAAATTATTTGCCCTATTAACGGAATTAAAGGGTTGCTTATATTTAAAATCGTGAACTATGAGCAGAAAAGCTGTTTTTTCCTTTTGTACTCCAACCGAGAGGCCTGTAGGGCATGTTAAAGGGCTTTTAAAGAGGCAAGTCCTACAGCCTTGATCCTGCTCCTGAGAGCAACCAGCTTCACGTTACTGCATTTGCTTCTGCAGTCGCTGGAGAACAAGAGTAGAGGCCTAAGCACTGAGATAAAATACTCCCGATGACCCGTGCTGCTCAGCATCCCCTGTGGCTTAAAGCACCGTCAGCATTGCGGACCCACAGAGGCGAGAGGCTGACGCAGCCTGAATTCGTTGCGGAGGCCCAAAGAGAGACGAGCCTGAAGTTTCCCTTTATTCCCCAAGGAAGTAAAGAAACGCCCACAACACACAAGGCTCCAGCTTGAGAGGGAAGAGCAGAGACCAGCGTGTGCTCACATCTTAAAAACCAAAACCCTCAAAGGACCAGGCTGACTCCATGCAGGAGCCTCCTCAGCTCCAGGGCTGGGCAGCGCTAACCCACCGCTCGCCGAGCGGGCTTGGGCAGCGCCGGCAAACGACCACTCGCGGGTTCCTCTGAGGGGCACTGGCGAACAACCTGCAAGCTTAAGTCATCCTTTTCCCGGCCTTTCTGAAGCACGAGAAAAGCAGACGTAGCCACTAAGTTTCCACAAGATGCATCAACTGCAGAAATTCTCCCTCAGATAGTTTTGTTTTAAAAAAAACCCCAACACTGAAAAAAAGAAAAATGAGGGAGGAAAAAACCCAATCAGGTGTTTTGTCTTTTCCTCTTCTCCATTCAAGGGGAAGCTGAAATATCATACCGAGGGCTTTTGCATTTTCACACAATTTATTAACAGAACATCCCCTGCAAACTGTTAGATACACATTTTAACAGAAAAATAGCAAAAGAACATTCTTCAGCCCTTGTAATATATTTAGCAGGCAACTCAAACATGTTTTATTTTAAGTGCCAACTAACTTGCCGTGCAATCAAGCCTATTTCCACCCCTCATTCTGAATGCAGCTCCAACATTTGATATAGATTAATTCAGCGCATGGATATTTTTAGTTTTATCGTGGCAAAACCGACTTCCTTCTTTAATTTTGGTACCCACAGAAAGCAAAGTGCAACTGGAAGAAGCTTCCACGGCCTCTGTTCTTCCCCCCCATCATGGGGATGTGTCGCTTCGCTGCTCTAACGACAACATGTCAAATTAGCCCGAGATCATTTACTCGCGTTTCTCAATTAATTTTGCCTGGCGCAGAATCCCACTTGGACCAATCTGCCTCCTGAATTTGAGGCGGTTGCTTTCCACATATGCTGCGGCGTGTTTGATTATCATCCGTCTTCGATTTAATTGCCAGTTGGCCTTCCAACCGAATCCAAATAGATAAATAAATATGACTTCACCACTCCTGACATTTAGTGGGTAATAAGGATAAACTACTTCCTATTGACAGCTCAGAGCTATTAATTCGGATCACTTGCCAGAAATGCAAAGCAGCTTTTTAACTGTATTTAAGAGGAAAGAGCTTTCTTCCCGTGTTGTCTTTCAGCTGCAATATCTGTGTGCAGGTGCAAGTGCTTTTCAAGTCTGCTGACTACGACATTTTCTGTCACGTACTCAGTTCACACCTAGAATGTTAAGTCTCCAAAGTTAAAAAAAAAATGAAATTAAAAAGAAAACATCTTGGCTTTAAGTTCTTTAAGAGTCTCTGAAGAGTACAAGGCTCTTGTGGTTAGCTCTAAACACAGACACATACGCAGAAATCAAACTTTGGGGGCTTTGCAAGTTTTTTTGCCACTCCATTCTTGAGGACAACCTCTGTAATGACACAATAACGCTCAAAGCTGAACAAAGATTGAAAAAATAAAAATAAAAATTGGACAACGTACTAATTCTTCGTTATTTCAACGAAAGCTCGGATTTTGGCGTTCCTATTCAGACACTTGGCATTAGGCCTTAACCCTGACCATGAGATCTCAGAAGCAAAAGGCAAATTTTTACCTTTACAAGACACAGTTCTACCGTGGTATTTGTTCTACTGTCTCATATTTGCTCAATAATTATGTGAAATACATGCCTGTATAACTGCTTTGGATATGTTAGTAGATATGTTAGTAGAAAAAGTTAAGGACTCTAAAAACACTATCAAAAATAGCCCCAAAATCTTCACATGCTCTCAGGACCTTACTAACGTCTCCCAAATCTTGTTTTACAGTTTTTCTACACTTCCATTTGTGGGGGAAAACTGCCTATAAAAAACCACACCAAACAACAAAACAAATAAAACCCACAAAAAACCCAAGAAGGAAACTACAAATATTTTACTCCTGAAACACCCAGAATTACTCTGTGCACGGGTTTTGCTGAAATCCTTTCCCGGGTGGGAAAGTTAACGCCAGACACAAAACGGGAGCCGGGGAGCGACGGTGTCGACGCTTGTTGTCACCACGTAAGGGCACACCTACCTCTACAATGTCATCGTCGAACAGCAACCAGAAGCCGTGGCTTTTCACAATGGTGATGTAATGTCCACGATTCGGACCACTGCCAGAGGGAATTAAAAAAATAAAAAAAAAAGAAATAAGGATTGAAGAATTATTATTACTCTTGTGCCTACAAAGGCAAGAGCATGGCTCTCCCACGCGGTTCTGGCTCTTGGGGGCAAAGTTTGGTTTCCCGGCTCTTGATGTATTTAAACACGTTACCTGTCGCAGAACGAAACTTCTTTGTTTAGGGCAATTAAATGAAAAGTAAAACTATCAGGGCAATGTATTCAGAACACGTTTTGCGAACTCAAATATTCAGAAAATAGAGCTTGTCTTCAGCCTTTGGTAAGTTCTTAGTAAGAATCGAGACCCCAAGGGTCACAGGATTGTTGGAAGGCCCACGTAGGATAACGGGTTTGAGAAGAAAAAGTAAAGACATTTAACAGATCTGAATTAGTCACTGTCGTACTTAACACATGGAAATTGTAGGTACAGAAGAGCAAATTAAGAATCTACTGGAAAAAAATGCATACGAGATCTTAAAATGATAAAAATAAACGAAAAGCCAGCACAAGTGAAGCACAATATTAGTGTGTTGATTCTGTTGCCTTGCTCCTCACAAAGATGTTTCAAGACATTTGAGTGCTGTAATAACTTAGTACTTTTTTGCCTTGACTGTTTTTTTTCCTAAAAGTCCTTAGAATTTTTTCTTCTTTCCTTTGAAAAACAGAATTAAAGCCACTACAACAACCAACAACAATAAAAAAATTTACAAAGAGAATAATGGCTTTTCAAAAACCCCACACACATCAGCAGTACACAGTTTATTCCACACGGTGGCACCAGCTTCTAAAAAAACTTCAACTGTTTCACAAGTAGCAACAGAACTGCAACTTAATTGTATTTTATTAAGTGTTTTCCCAAGTTTTGTTTTTATTTCGTTTAGCTTTCCTGGAAAGCAGCGTTGGGGATGGGTTGGGCTTTTTTTTCCCCTCGCGCTTCTGGACTTTTTTAAGACTGCTCTTACTTCACTACAGCTCCAAGAAACAACTTGTCTACTTGTCATCGTATCTGAGAGCTGGTAAAAGAACAAACTTTACACTTTGTGCTCCAAACGCAAAATTTAAAACAATAATAAAAAAAGAGAAATAAAATAAGAATCCTTTGCTACAACTAGCTCGGACGTTGCTTAGCACACTCCTATTATTGCCAGACTCCTTTTAAACTTCAAGGTTTAAGGTGCAGAAAGCACAAACCCAACATACCTGCCACAGTGAACAACGACAGCCACGAGGTCGTACATTCTGTCAGGATTTGTAGCGTCTCCTGAAGTGTTGAAGAGCCGGAGCTCCAAGGGAAAGACTACGCGGTAGGAGAGTTTGGTGTATCGATGCAGCTGGTCCATGTACTTGAACCTTTTTAAGTGCAGAGCTAGAATCATGGGCAACTTTTTCACTCTCATTCTGCTCCACAAAAACACGGCAAAAGAAAGAACAAGGTATCAGCAGGTCGCCTAAAACGTTCGAGAACAGTTTCAGTATGAAGCAGCTTCTCAAGGGGCATCTAAAATGGTGAAGATTTTCAAAGGGCTGCCTTTCTCACCATATATTCCAGGGAGAACGGGTAATATTTATTCTGAAAGATTAACTACACACTGACATCTGAATGTCTCTGTTGAAACCATCCATTTTTCATCACGTCAGTGGAAAGGAAGAGATGGAATAAATCTGTCATGGTGCTCTGGCTGTGACCAAGTACGAGGTGAGAAATAAGATTTTTGTGTGGAGTATTCATAGTCAAAGTAGATGGGATGGTTTTCAGCGGCTTTAAGCTGCTTAATGCAAACCGGGGAAAACGCGAATGTCTGGAAGCACCAGATATAAGCTCTTCTGGGAGGAACACAAAATTAATCTCTTCATTCCCCTCCCAGAAGGTTGCCACAAAGTTACTTGGTCTCTCCACTTCTTACTCCCTTCCCCACCAAACACAGACCTAAACAGGTTCACGTTTTCTTCTCACCGAATTCACAAGGCGTATTTTTCCAACATTGGCCCATTTTAAGAGAATTAGCCTGAATATTTTCAACCCTTACCTCTTCTGTGCTTCCTGTTTACTGCGGCACTGCTCACAATAGTATTTATATTCACTGCATAGAGTTTCAGTATTACTAAATCCCCTGTGGAAGTGAAGGAGAAGTCAGATAAGTAGGGATATTCAGTCAGACCATCCAGTTAAAAGTTACTGCTGAAAAAAAACCACCACGAAGTGCACACAGAAAATTAAATTCCTCTTAGTAATATCACTTGTACTTCCCAAACATGTTTTAGGCATATTTGTCGCAGTTTTGGGGTGTAGTATCAACACGTGGCTGGAAAAATTTGGAAATTACACCCTCAGGTATTAACTGCATTATGTAACAAAGAGCAAGAAGGTGACTGTGTTTTGGTTCAGAGGTAGCCGCTCCGTGTTTTCTTTGCTGGCTGACATTAGCCACTGACTAGCTGAAAGTCTGGGTTATCTTTCAGCTCCAAACAATTACACAGCCGTTATCAGCTACTAAAAAGCCAGATGCTACATGCAACTTGTGGTATCCTAGCAGCTGATAAGCCTCAGATCTAGCAGTCAAATACACGGAGCACATTTTTATCATTTATTATGAAACCAAACGTTCCGTGTTTAGTTTGGATTAAACATGACTTCACGAGTGAACAAATTAAAATCCCCATAAAAGCAACAATCAATCTCATGCAGCAGCAAGAAATCATCGTACTCGTTAACCACTGAAAACTAGTCAGGAACTAGCAGTTTCAAAAACCCACAATAAAGATGAAATGAACAGAACATATTTTATCAGAAGTCAAAGCCTACAACTGTTGCACAATCGAGCAAGGAGGGCTCTTTCCTCCTGACCAAGGGCAAGTATTTTTTTCCATTTGCAAATATTTTCATTTACCTTAGACAATGCGTAATTGATGTATTTTGTTCCACGTCAACCGATAGATCCAGAAAGTCCTCATCTTTGCTACTAACCTTGAGAAAAAGAAGAAGAAATATTTCATAACCGTTGAGAACGGTCAGGTTTCTTTTAACCATTTCCGGAATGGTGCAATGTCCTCGTTTCAAGCAGAGTGCTTCCTGATCAAAAATAAATATACACATACACAGAGGCCCTGTCCTGAGGTAAAGTAAAACTGAAGAAATAATCTGATGTGTTGCTACAATCCAGAGAGGAGTATTTTAAAAACAACAACAAGCAAACAAAACAAAAGAGAAACAAACCCACAAAACCAACCTCACAAAAAAAAACCCAAAAGTCTTCTTGCAAAACATCTTTCCCCCTGGAGACACATCCGCTGACTTCACTGGGAAAACCAAGTCTTTAACCATTCAGAGGCTTTAACCGCACTCCGCTCCGCAGACTGATCCAGCTCTCCAATGCATTTCAGAGTTTAACAGCAAATACTTACAGGAAATGCAGAAAGAGGCAGATGGATTTTCAATTAAATGGGTTAGCAGTTAGGAAAACCATCTTTCCATTTGTGGAACAGTCACATTTAATTTCAAAATTCTTGAGACTGAATCTTATTAGTGTCATTTTTAGAGCTTCTGTTCACCACATAGCCACAACTTTAAATTTAAAATGCCAAGAACAGTCATTTCAGTTGTAATGACATCTTTTTCTCTCCCCATCTGGGCTTTTTTTTTTGTTGTTTTTTTTTTTTAAATATTACACCAGACATAGCACATAACTAACTAGAAATTCCTGCGCTGAAGGTGGCATGGTTCTTTTAATTCTAGACTTCGTGGCACTTCTTCCTGCTCTCAAATAGAGTGGCTATGGACCAGCACGAAGCAGCACAGTTCAAGAAATTCACGTAAACCCAGAGTTAAATAAATAGTGAGCAACTCTCACGTAGAAACACGACATAATCAATCACTAACACAGGAAATAACAAGAAGACAAAAAGGCAGCTTGTATCAGCCAGGTGCAGACCGCCTGGATGGAAACAGGGAGGAGGAACAGAAAAACCACTACGCTGTTTCTGAGGAACATACCTTAATGAGTATTGGTTTGAACATAGAGGTGATAGAGTCATAAAATACGCTACGCTCCATATTTTAATAGAGAGAGAGTGCAATTTCATCTATCCTAATAAATGAAAAAGTGTGCTTAGCGTTAGGGAGAACGATCCGGAACCTGTGCGAAAAAATCTAAGAGGTTTGGTTTTGGTTTAAACGTACAGCCTCACAGTTAAGACATCTGGTTTCATTGGTTAGTGTTCCTTGGAAGATTTCATGGACCCACGTCAGATCAGTCTTGTCTCCTTCGTCGCTCTCAACGCTGCCATTCTGGAGTTTGCCATTCTGCTTCTCCTGCTTTTTCTCTTCTTGCAGCAAGTCGGCAATAGTGTTAAGTAGGTAGTTGAGGAATTCATGTGCATCCTGTTGCATATAATTATCAAATAATTCTGGAAAGGAAGAGATCAAGGAGAATGAAAACAAAAAATGCAGATACTTCATAACAGCGAGTTATTGCGCTCTTTGCAGCCAGGGCGTGCCCTTCCCCCTTCTCTACCCGATCACACAACTGTGGGTTACGGCTGTGAGAGCCTTTGAAGAACTGTACTTTGTCGTTCTCACCTATTCCTCAGGATGCAAGAAACAAGCAGCTGAAAAATTATGTAAAAGGAAACGTTTCTTAGAACTAAGAAAACCACAACTGGTGTGGTTTGGGGGGGGTTGGTTGCGTTTTGGCACTTTGGGTTTTTTTCTTTGTGGAGGGAGAGAAATACAGAAATTCAGATGTGTTGCCTTGGGCCATTAGTTCATTTAGTCCAGCATCAAGGGGAAAAAATCCCCCGTTAGAATCCTGTTACCTGTTCAAGTAGAGAGGACAAACCGAGGGACAGAACTTTCCCTCACAACGCAGCGCTGGCAAATAACCACTCCTCAGCACGAGGAATTTCTCCTCCCGCCAATGTCAGAAAGCAGGCCCAGAGCGGTTGCGTCTCCTTGGAGAGTTCAACTTTGCCCAACTCCAGGAGGTCCGGGCTCAGCCCACGACAATTTGCAGCAGCCACGCGGGGTGTGCCGACTCGCAGCAGCCCTGCACAGAGCACGGTGACAAGGCGGGACGGTACCCGGAGCACCGAGGCTCACGGACGTGCTCCGCGCTCGGTCAAAGCAAGCACAGAACCAAAGATCTCTAGATAACCCACCGAGAGCACGGCTCAGCTCCGATACAATCTCTGTTCCCGTGCCACCGAGGGGGTGAAATTCACACCACAAAGGGGAGTCCAAATATCTGCCCAAAAATCTGTTAAAACTTGACAATTTGGACTCGCTGCATTCACATTTTGTACACTTAAATCCCCCGCGCTTAGAATCTACAGGAAAAATTTAGTTTATTCATTTACCATTTTCTTTCCTCAATCGGGAAATAAATTTCTTGGGTGGGATGACTCCCACCTTCTTCTTTTGCGTAGCAATACTGTTGAAGAGATCAGAGAGGCATGTCAGGAGGCTTTCCTTCTTTCGAGGCTGCACTTTGTACGCCAAAACTTTTTCCCGAAATGGACGACAAAAATAAAGTGCCTGTAAGACTGAGTTGCAGTAGCAGGTATTGCCGAACTGGTTAAAACAGAACAAAAAGGAAAACAAACGTTTTCATATTAGGTCTGTTAAAAAGTAGTAACAGAAAGAGGTTGCTCACTAAGAATGTCACATGCTGAAAATGGAAAAGTCTGTCAGCGCTCATTTACCAGGGAAATACTAGTAGGTGTAAAAGATTCATCCTTGTATTCTCACAGCTGGTAACAGCAAGAAAAGGAAGAGGAGACAACAAGTCACAGTGATACTGGGCACACACAAAAAGCAGGAAACCACTGTCAAAATAAAATAAAAAATCCACTTGATGGCTTTTAGAGAAATCAAAACTCCTGGAGATACTACTGAATGCCATGGGGGAGATGCTGCTGCTGCTGTGGAGGGGTGTCAGCGACAGAGCAGAACAGAGGGACAAGGGAAAAAAAGGAAGAGAAAAAAAAAAAAAGGAAGAGAGAGCATCACTGTGCCTCACCAAGAGCTCTGGGCATGAACTCAGACGTCAGATTTGCCTGTGTCAGTCACACCAAGTACTTCTGAGAGACTATCAGCCAGGTACATGTTAAATAGTTCCTGTTTGTAAGGAAATAGGAGGAGAAGTACACGATGCGGGCAAATCCAAAGAGCAGCTGGTTTGCATCTGCCGTAGCTGAAGGCAATGTCACTTCCGAGCGAGGAGGACAGCGATAACAACTTCCAGAGGCCATGTCCCACATCGCTTACCCGAGGGAACCAACACAGCACCCACAAGAAACACGCCTCGAGGGGTGGGGGTTTTGAGTTGTTTCTCTGCCGTTTATTGTGGAACCGTACTGTACGATGCTGTCCATTCCAACGGAGGGTTTGCCAGCCCCCAGAGACTCGGGCAACGAGGTTTTGCATCTCAAGAGTGCCGAGAGCAAAGTATTTTAAACAAACCAAAAAACCTGAACACAGACTATTTTCTTAAGTGATACTCGGAGAATATGGCCACTGCTCTTCACCAGAATTTGGTGCGATTACGGTAGCAAAATGCTTTCAAGTTAATAATCTGTTTGGTGACTGAACCAGAAAATTAACAGTTTAATTCTCATAGCTAAAAGGTTACAGCATTATAATTACATTAACATTAATTCCTACTGTATGCAAACGACTTGGAACAACCGTTCAAACTTCTTGACACAAGGAAAATGAAGATGCAAGCCGAACAAACACGTGTATTAGGACAGAACCTAACTCATATGCTTGTCACTGCCCTAGAAAACAACTAAGCATCATGCTAACTAGATTTGCATGCAAGGAAAAATAGCCAAGAGATCTACCAAAAAGTCTGATTAAATACTATTGCTTTCAGATGAGGTAGCTAATATATTCGTCTAAAACAATCCCAGAAAATTCAGAGACAGAAGAAACTGGAAATTAGCTATCTTAAAAAAAAATAAATTAAATGGAAGGTCATGGTGCAACTTAAGTCAAAAACATTATCAAAAGCACATATTTCAGGACCTATTCGTGGAGAAATCATGTCAAAATTGGTCATACATGTCCTGCTTTGATCCTACCCCCAGAGAGATAAATTATTAGAATCAAATTAAATGGAAGAGTTAAAGGAGTTCAAGAATTAAAATTCCATCCAAATAGCTGATGGTAAGATGCGAGATCCCTGATAAGTAAGATGCAAGATGCTTTGCGGTAGTCAAAGTGATATGGTGGAAAAAATCACTTTATGGCATGCTTCAGGTTTTAAAAATGTCCTTCTAAGTAGTATTTTAATTCCTTTTGTTTGCTACCACCTCTACATAAAGAAACACGGAAGAACTTTTATTCCTGAAACCAGCATCTTGCACGTTAGCCCTGTAGATACTCTGCTGCACGCCAAGCACTTCACAAAGAGACCACGTGACGCATTTTATGGCAGCAATTCTGACCTTTTTCCACGTTACGACAAAATCCTTCCAACTCTGAGCAATTCAAGGCCTTGGGAAACTTCTGAATATCTCAACTATTGGCCCACACTTCTCTGTGTTAGAGAACATTCTCCACAAACGAACAATGCCACACGGCAGGGTCACGCTTTTAAACTGCAAGTGCTTTGCATCTAGAAGCTCCAAGTAGTCAGATCTTTCTGACAATAACCTTAACTTTGCCAGAAATTCTGCCTTGGGGAGGGAAATAAAAAAAAGGGGACTCTAGCCATTTGTCTTTGTCAGAACCTCAAAAACCAAGCTGTCAAGGCAGCTCTCGACAGGCTGATGAATATTTCTAAACCTGGAGCTACATGCACACATCAAACAGACAAGCAGTGTATAAAGTCTAATATGACCTAAAACATGGAAAAAACCCCACCAGGTACAAACATGTAGGTTTTAAAATCTTTTTGTCATGGTTTCTCTGGTATAAATATTCTGAATAGATGTCAAAACATAGGGGGGGGTTGCTTAAAGCTGACTATATTTAGAGCCAACATTACCTAACTCCCTAAGAACTTCTAAAATGTTACACTTGCAATGTAAAAATAAAGTTCCAATGCTTATTTTGAGATAGAAGCTTCTTAAAACGAAATGTTAAAATGAAAACATTGTTCCATCGCTCTCGCACTTGGCTTCAACGTTACGCGCCATCTATTTTAGCAGCCTGTCACAAGGGGCAGCCAGAAGACCCTTCTCCCGTTTGCTCCGCGGTGGCTTCAACAAGAGCTCACCAAGCGAAAGCAAAAATAACTATTAAAAAAAATAAATTTTAAAGCCTCCATTGTCCACGGGTTCAACACCTGATCCTCTCTGCAGCGCGGCCACAGACTGGCTACTATTGACACCGAAGCCATGAAAGTGCCCTCCAATTAATCGCAAATCGTGAAAGAACTAGAAATAACTCGGGGAAGAGCTCTGCAGAACGAGAGCGTGAAAGCTGTCGCCCTAAAGAAATTCCTCGCACGGAATACAGCACAACAGCGTTAGTCATATCTTGTCCTTCAAAACAAAGACTGGATGTGGTTATAATAATTCCGGTTATTTTTAGCACGCTATTTTTCCTCGGCACTCTATTCATCGCGCTGCTATTTCTGCTCCAGTCAGAGCCAGTTTTCTCTCTACGGCGCAAACGTCGGCAGCTCCGGAATGGCCATTTACACCACGCCTGAGGAACAGAACTCCACGTGTTTAGCTGGCTTGGTGGCCGAGAACACAAACTGCCAGAAAGCCACCCAGAAGCCAATCGAATGAGATTGTAATGAGCTGCAACAAACAGCTTTAGTAGCTACATTAACCTTTTCTGGAGTTTCAAGAGACGATCTTTCGGCAAAACGTACCCAGATGACCAACAGACAGACCTAGATAGATGTTTCTAGGGAGTTTTGTCAAAATTGCATTGTCACATCATAAATAAAATGTCACAGGTTTTACCGCTCAACTTCCTACATTCATTAGCAAAAATGTCACAGGCACAACCGCTGCCTCTCTGCTCCAGAAGCACTGGCAAGACCAACATCAGCGCTCCAGTCTTGCCCTAATTAATTTAGGAAGACAATCCTTATTACCCAGCAGATCCCAGTCAAGTCACATGGATACAAACTGAGAGACACACAAAAAAATGCATTTTTTTAGAAGGACTGACAGTTCCACAAGTACATGTATTTCCATCACTACAGGTAAGGCAGTTATCGACCAAGCCGTCTCCTAAAATTCTAACAGGGAATCCTGTTATATTTGAAATCAGGATATGAATTTCAATTAAAAAAAACGCATTTAAATCATAAAAAATTCACTTACATTGACCAAGCCAAAATAATGCTCATTCACAGGGAACTGTTCAGGACCAATCTCTTTCTCCAAAGCAGAGGCATTGGCGCCCTAGAAATAAAGAGAGAGGAAAAAAAATTTTAAAAAAAACCCCCCACCCAGCAGAATTCATACTACTCCTATAAAAACAAAGGGAAAAAAATTACGTTACTTCCACTGAGAAGTAGCATCTTGTGTTTCCTATGTTCCTCAAAATGAAATCAATATGATGCTTCAGGACTATAAAAGGTACCATAGTTTCATTTAAAAACTCAACTTCATCAGTCAGAATTGGAGCTATGTGATCTAAGAGAAAGGTGGTTGTGGGGTTTTTTTTAATTTGAATTTATTTGAAAGGCAACAAGAAGAAATTTGTCCTCACTTAAGACTTCAGGTTAGTCACAGTGACCTAGAAACACCAATTTAAAGTTAGCCCAGAACACACCGTAAAGATTAAGAAACTTGTAACACACAGAGAACTTCTAAACCCAGAGGACAGAAACCACATGGGCTACAAATCCCATGAAAGAAACCCCACCTTTTTGTGATGGGGACTGCACAAAAGGTTTCATGCGGCTGCTCATTATTTGCATCTCGTACAAAGAGTTCTTGAAACAAATTCTTGCCTTCCCTGACGCTTTACATCAGGGATACTATAATTTTCTAACTTAATTTCTGGAAAGTACTACGGGCAAGTGAAGCATGACTGCAAAGACCAGAAAGAATGGACAGAATGTTATCAGACACTCCTCAAACTCAGATCACCTCGAAGTGCTGTGGCCTTGTTACCCTTAATTTAAGGCCGCGGTAACAGCGCAGTTTCTGACATCCCTGAGTCTCCAGCAGCATCATGAGGATAGACGGGACTATTTTAGATACAAATGAAAAATACCACGACACATCCATATGGTCTTACTTGTCACATACTCCAAGACCTAATGCATACCGACATTTTCGTTTCCTTTTTAACTCTGTCCACTTCCAGTTCCAAGCGGCTTAGGGATCTCTTTCCATTTTTTTTTGCCTTTTTATTTTAAAATCCACCAATACCTTAGAGCTAAGGTCCCTGCTGGGATTTGGTACCTTCCCTCATACCAGTCCATCTAGTTCCCTAATGTTTCTCGCTGGTCTTCCAAGAGTCCTAAGCTGCATCCATGCTGGTATCAACGGAGTTACAACCACTCAGTGCAGAACCAAGCACTCTGGCTCCTTGATTTGTTTTAAATAACCTTCTGCAAACCCTGAACAGAAATCCATCTGCCCAGGAGCCATCTTAAAACACCTCCGAAAAGCACTAAACAAAGATTACTGCCCAGCAAAATTCAACTCATCCATTTCCCTGACGCCAGTAACGTTTTTAATCGCTAAACAACCATTTCAATCCTTTCCCTTAGCGTTCTGCGGGGAATATAAACCGCAGACACGGACCGACTGTATAGACAGTTCCATTTAGATTGTCTTTAACAAAGAAGCAACGACATTTTTTCTAACAAACAGGGAAGAAACCAAAAAGCCAAAGGAATGGAAACTCCGTGGCTTGATCACCCACATCACATTTACAGTGATTTGCACATACCAAAAAAAGGCAGAAAATAAGGAAGGCTCAAAATTGGGTCCTACAAAAACATTCATTAGACACTGACAGATTTACAAGTAAGACTCCTCGCAGGCAGCAATTACATGGAAATTTTGAGGCACTGGTGCCAGCTCAAGCAGCTCCTCTCATTTGCTTCCCTACAACCAAGCACCTCTTTTTCTCCTCCGCTATTTCCCCCCCAAAAAACCCAACCCAAACCCAGACATAAGAACAAGGCAGAACTGCCAACACAGCTCCCTCCAAACACCACTTCAGCTCTTCCCGTACACTGTGCCGATCAACACGGACGTCGGGTAACAGCGGAACGAGAGCTTATAACCCCCCCGCTGGGTAAAGGCACGAGAAGAAGTGAGGCTGGTTTGGAAAAAAATTTGTGGTCTTGAAATGAGAACTGATGGCTAAACATGGTTTCTTCACCCTCACATGCTGCGTGTCTCGAGATTAAGGAAGGGATACAAGTAAAATCTGCAAACTTGTGAAGTGAATGGTCTCCTCACCTCCTCCACGGTCTCTGATACCTCATTAGAGAAACCCTGGAAAACCAGACAACTAAAGCAGGTACCACAACTCACAGAACTAGTGAGACTGGACCACTCAGATACACCAGTCTGTAAAGAAACACACGGTGTAAATATCTGAACAAGGAAATAAAAGCATAAGAACTGTAATTTTTATTAAAACTATGCTATAAAGAATTTAATAACCTACCATAAACCAGTGTTGCGATTCAGCTAAACCTCCAGTCTGTATTCCATCTACTTATTTAATCTAACAGGTTACACGGGTCCTTTTTCCAAGTGCTTCCTTGTATCTACTGTCCAACCTTTGAACTACACTGCCCAAGGCAAAAAAACCCCAAGCAAAAACCCAAACAAAACCAGAGGCAGTTTATGGTGGCAGCACAAATGGGCCTTGGTCATGTTTCTGGATGGAGATACACGACATGTCTGTAAGGCTGCAAAACCACAGTCAAAGTTCAGTCACTCACAACTAAAGGTGCAAATAGCAATTTAACCAACTGGAGATCAAATCTAGCGCAGCGTGAGTCACGTCTTGCTGTAACGAGGCCTAAGGAGCAGCTTTGGGTTTTCCGACTGAGAGGCGTCACACACAATTTTCCCACTCGCCCCTGAAAGATTTGTTTCCATCTGGATAAATGCTTCTGCCTCAGATCACATCCCTATTGGCTCGTACGAAACAAAACGCAGTTTTGGAAATCCAGAAGTCACACTTCTCACCTAGGAATAAAACCTACCCAATTGTCGAGTTTGACAGGTGTCCAAAGTATGAAAATTGGTATCTGATTATTTGGGGAATCGAGAGAGATGCATCTCTTTGGGGGTGCCACAGGAAAACTATTCAGCATCTTACAGCACTTTACACACCTAAAAACCTAAGAAAATCAATGCTGTTTTGCTAAGCTGTGACACACGTTGTGGGAGCAATAAAGAACGACAGGAAAATTCACTAATACACACTAATTGAGTTTGCTTGGCATAAAAAAGCTAAGCAAACCGCATACACTAAAATACGGCTACAGATAAAGCTTAACGCCGGAGATCAGATTTGACTCCTCCTCGCTAGCGCAAGACAAATAAACACATCTTGAACTCCTCAGAAGTACGTCCTCGAGTCTTCTGGGAGGTCCACGACAACGCTCTCAAAGAACTTCTCTGCTACTCTGGTTCAGGAGATGATTAAAACTTTCTGTGCGCAGCTCTGTGAACAGGAACAAAACACAAATTTATCCAGCCAACTCATAATTACCCAAGGAGGAAAACATCCCCCTGGTTGGACTAAAGCGGTAACACTGTTTTACTTACGTAATTACACTCTCAGAGAGACGCAAATTTAACACTTCCATAACTGTGGAGGAGGTGATAACTCAAGTTTCAGCAACTGGTAATCAGGATTTAGAATTTTCTAGAAATGACTGCACCTTAAAACGTTGTCTCGGAGGTTGGCTGCACTTTTCAAGAGCTCCCCTATTCTGGTCACACCTCCGCTACCAGAACTGACTTGGACGAGAGTGAGCAAGCTTTTTTATCCATCAGATTCCCGCAGTTCCGGCACTATTTATCAAATATAAAAATGAAAAGCTGCCTGATCCACCTGAACTCTCCCATTTTAGCAGTTCAGAAGAACAGATACAGCTAACGATGGCCCAGCCAACCTCAACAGACCAATGATAAACTATTTTCTGTCCTATTTTTTTGGTTGAGTTTGGTAAAGTAAAAAGATTTATGAAAAGACCAGTTTCAAAAGCTCTTACCCGGGGTAGCTGTCTAACCAAGACACCACAGAAGCAGCAAATGCATTCCAGCATAGCTGAAATTTTAACTGAATACCAAGTCTCTCAACTTGCAAGCTGCAGGTCCTTTTTGCTCAATGGGGAAGTCTTCAAGATTTGTTTCCAGTTCAAAACACCGTGCAAGTGGAAAAAACAGCAGTAGACTTCTATTTCTGAGCCAGATTACACTGCTAACTCACCGCATCACCAAAACACGGTAAGAAAGAAGCATGCTTCGGCATTACAGTCTCTTAGAAGCTCTACAGTTTGCGACTATTCCTGCAAAGAAAATGAGTATTTTTGCCTGGTCTAGATTTAATTGATTTCAGAAACTGGAAATGATTCAACAGTTTCCAGGGGCTTAAATACTTCTACGACCCTGAAGTTACTTGGATTTGTAATTGCTTTGAATTTGTAATTACTCTTACAGACAAATGGTTCGCTTATCTGACAAGAATCATAAGAAGAAAATACTGTTGGAAGATGAAGAAAAGTTGTCACTTTTCCCTTCACTATAGATAAGCAGCTTTATGATAAAAATTATAATATGGGCCAGAGCTGAAGAGTTCTTCTGAAGCTATCGATGAACAGAAGAGTTCAGAGGAATTAATAACAGCTACATGGCTCAGAACACGAACTGGGGTCAGCTGATGAAAAAAAAAAAAACCACGTGTCCAGCATCCACATAGTTCTTGCTTGAAGTTATGACTTTTTTTTCCCTTTTTAGTACTTTCAGTGAAACCCTGATCTTTCACAAAACCCGGCAGAGAATAAGCACACTATTACTACAGACTAACCAACATAACCAGTCAATTTTTTTTTAACCTGAACTAACACTTTCACGTTTGGAAGGAATTCATACTTCTGTCGATAAGTATCTACTTTTTGCTGCTCTAAAGGTAACTTTCCAGACATGGGAATGGTTATAAAAGCAATATCGGACTATCTTGATGAGCCTGCACGCAGACCTCATGAGCACGGAGCAGCTGCTGCTACAGCTTCCGCAAGAAAAGGATCAGAACTGGCACGACATTAGGTCGGTACCCTCGGTGTTATTCAGAGCTCTTGTCCAAAAGAATCAGGTCAGCGCTGTGCTGCTGCTCGAGCACGCAGCAGCTATAAAACACACGGAGAAAACCCACAAAGTGGGTGCTGGGAACGGGTTACGAGTAGGAGGGCAACAGCCTCGAGATTTGGCGAGGGG